GAAGAAAGAAAGAGAGAAAGAGAGAGAGAGAAGGAAAGAAAGAAGAAAGAAAGAAAGAAAGAAAGAAAGAAAGAAAGAAGGAAAGAAAGAAAGGAAAGTCATTTCTATCTACAGAGCAAACCACATATTTTATATCTTCCTCCCAGTGTTTGTGTATTAATTATTTCTTACTTATCCATTTTCTCTCTGGGATTTATTTCCTATATGATAAAACAAGATTTGCTAAATTAATCTCTCTCTAAAATTGAAGTCAGTGTTAGACTGAGAATTCTCCTTCCTTATCTCCAAGAGATGCATATGGTAGGATATGATGGGTCAGGTAGGTAGCTAATGTCCAAAGTCATAACATATGGTATGGTTATTAATGTCCTTGTCATTTCAGATATAGTTGTCCACAGTGCTACTACTAAAATACAGAGTAATGACATTCTTTATTTAAGTGATGTATTTTAAACACATATAATGCATGTTTAAATTGGTTTAATTAGCCAGAACTGCTGAAAAATCAAGAATTTTACATTCAAACAGTCTCTTGGTCTTTCCAAATAACTTTTCTAGTTCTCAAGAGCTTCCAAACAGACCTAGCTGTTTGGACAAAGTTATTGCTTAGGCATTCCCATGGGTTTAGTATAGACTATGCTCATTCTACCTGTGACCTAAGCACAGATGATTCTATTATTTAATAGCACAACACTGGTGCACTGGTATATCCTTAACTTAGCAAAGGCACAAACAATTAAACAAACTCTTTTGGCTTTACTGCTCCTGTCAAAATTCTACACAAAAGAGATAAAGAAACAGAGATGAAAGAAAATACATGAACATAAAACTTTTTTGTTCAAAGCTTCAAACTAATAATAAATTTTAGTGCAAAGGTTGACTTATATACCAAATGTGGGAGTTTTCATAGCTCGGGGCCCTAAATCCCTAGGGCTACAGAAATCCCAAATACAACATGCTTTACTATAATTAGCATTTTCTATTTCTAATCCTGTTAAGTTTCTGCTCTAATAAAAATATAGATTCAGAAAAAAACAAAACAAAAAACTAGTTCCTAAAGTCAGATGGTTTTCATGGGTCAGAACATTTCAAACTCCAAATCCAGGTTAGGAATTTTTAAAATATTAAATCCATAACTGAGTTATCCTAATTTTTATCAAAATGAAAACATTTGCTGAGGAAAGGAACTGACAGAGATAGACTGGAATTTCACCTCTGTCTATGTCATCTAAATCAGACAAAACGACATCCATGTGCTTTTCAGAGGCACAAATAAAACATTCAAAATTTTAGCTGACTTCTTAATGACTACACTTTCTTTGGTGTTATATATTGTTAACTATTAAGCCATAAATTCATCTTCCATGTCAGAGCCTTAGCATCAAGACAGTTAGCAAAATTTCAGTGTTCCTGTTTAGAGATTTTTGGTAAACGACCCCGAAGGAATATTAAAGGACCATCAAGTGACTGAATAAATCATCTGAGAATTCCAGTTGGTATATATCAAAACTATCTACCATTGTGTTTGGTTCAGAGCCCTCCAGGTCAAAGAGGACATTAAAAATTAAGATGTATTTGAAGCAGAGATATTATAACATGACTTTGTCATGTGAAATCATATTTAATAAAAGTTCTTTATTTAAGACATTGAAATTAAACATTAAACTGTGTGTGAAATGCAATAGTTCAAAAATCTCAGTATTCAGAGCAAAACCTACATCTTCTCTAGACTCTGGGACATCAACAGAGTACATCAGGTGTTTTACTGAAGACTTATTTCTCCATGCTTGCTCTAGAAGACAACAGCTCTTTACCAAGCCAAATGCTCATTTTTGGCTTTACAGTTGTGATTATAATCAGGTCATCAGAGGGAACTATGACAGTGAAAGTAAATTGGATTATGGTGCTCTTTAAGTGGTTAATTTAAGTGTTTGAGCCTAAAAAAAAAAAAGTGTCATTTTTACAGTGCTTTTCTCAAAAAGTAAACAAGTGTCCATAATTCTGATCACCTGCACAACATCTGAGTGTAATGACTATGTTAAATCAGTTGTAAATGCTTCAGCTCAGGTTCCCCTGTCAGACTCAAGCTGAAACGCTCAGCATAAATTGAGGAGACTCTAATAACCTTAAATCATTGTGTCCTGCACATGCTCAGAACCAATGACTTCCAAATTTGAACGCATATAAAAATTTGAAGAGCTTCAATTATTTTAAATAGCCATGTGCAGTGTAGAGAGAGATTTAAAATTGTTGTAGTGCCTGGCATTTTTTAAGTACTTCAGCCTGGACGTGAGTCAAGCAGCATCCTATCAGGAGACACTGGTTCAGCTTGAATTACCAGATGTAGAAATACATATCTAAAGAAAGGAGATGGGGTTTTGTTGAATTACACCATTTGAAAAATTGGCATCTTACAAAATAAAATAAATAAACACACTGCTCCAATCCATTTCCACAGAGGAAAGTTAAAGACTGTGGCTATCACTGGGCCAGGCCAGAGGAGAAAGATCAAAACAGTATTTTGAAAGCAGGAAAAAAAAAGTTTTCCAAAGCAGCGTGAGATAGAAGCAACTCAAGTTTAAAGAAATGCAAGAAGGCTTTAAAATCACAGCAGTCCTGAGGATTGTTGACAGCCTAAGGAGGATCATTGACAACAGGAACATAGGGACATTTCCCTTGCTGTTTTTCCTTGCTTCCCACTGGCTGACCAAAGCTGACTTCCTTGTTCCTTCATGGAGGAGTGTTGGTACCTCGTGCTTCACCAACACTCTGAAGCTTTGTATATTCCCTTTGTTGGAATTGTTCTCCTGTGGGAGAGGGTGAGCACTTTGACATTTTACACAGCTCAGAGTTCACCGTCAATATACAAACCCTTACAGAGCCCCCCAAATTACATCTGCACAATCAGGAGTTTTAAACATGTCTTTTCTTCAAGACTTTCTATCTTTTCATCCAAGAAAAAAAGTTCTGATCGCTGTTGTTGCCTTTGGGTGTCCACGTTCTTGAGGCTTGGCACTGCCCGGGGCAGCTGGACACTCTTCATACTTTTGTGTCAGGAAAAGCATAATGTCCTATAGTTAGTAAGGGAAAAAGGGTAAAGGGAGAAAAAAAATGCAAGCAAAAAGCCCGAAGGCACTAGAATAATTAAGCCAACGCGGTGACAGCTGTGGCAGGTCCCGGGCAGAACTGGCTCCACTGAGCTGAATTAATGACATCAACAGCCCAGTATCTCCATTAACACTTGATCATTAATTATTACCCTCTGACAGTAAAAGCCCAAACCTTGTTAGGAGTGGCCCGTTATTAATCTACCTTACCTGCCCTCCACACTGACAGACACCTCAGCGTGGTCAGCGGAACCCTTTCCGACTCAGTCCTTGCTTTTTGTTTTTTGTTTTTGTTTTTTCAAACTTCAATTATTGCTCAATTTACCTGGGTAGATAGTGACGGCCATCAGATCATGAAGTCTACTTTGAGTCACTAGGTTTCATGTTCTTTCATCTACAGCTGGGGTTGGTTGGGAGTGTGAGGAGGGGCGCTACCAGCTGCACTGACTTTTCCTCATCCAGTTTGGAAGGGTCAAGAGATGCAGTTTACTTGACGAAGTACAAAAGGCAGCAAAGATGTAAATTATTCAGCACTGTCCTTTTATCTGCCCCTATGGGGAAAAGAATTCCTTAGTTTCCCTTAGTGTCATCCTTGGAACTCAGGACACTGGGCATGAATCTTTTCAACTCTAAAATTTGCTCACTTAAATTGCTTTCAGGAGCCACTGAGATCTCTCAGTTGTTAACAATGCTCCTTGTGACACTGTAGGACCTAAATTCAATCCCACCCCTCCCTGCACCCACTGCATAGAGAACGAAGAGAACAGACTCCTCGAAGACATCCTCTCACCTCCATGCTTACTCTCACTCAATGAACGCGCACACCCACACACACATGCATACACACACACGCCACACACACACACAAACACACACACACGCACACACACACACGCACACACACACACGCACACGCACACACACATATACTTTGTCATCACCATCATCATAACAATTAAGTTTTAAATTCTCCCAAAATATAGGGATATTCAACTTTACGTACACTGTACCAAATATTTCCTTGGTCAAATTCTGATCACAGTGAGAAAAAGACACATTCCTTTAACTTTACAAGTAACAGATTAGTTTGATTTTTGTCTTATACAACTTAAGGATTTGCCATTATATTTCCACCAGAATTTTGTGGTAAAATTCCAGCATTTAAAAGTTAAGTCACAGTTTTGAACATTTCAGTGCACACACACACACACACAGAGAGAGAGAGAGAGAGAGAGAGAGAGAGAGAGAGAGAGAGAGAGAGAGAGAGAGAGAGGTGGTAGTAGTAGTAGACACACCACAAGTAGCTATGGAATTCCAGGAGGATTGGGAAGTTAATAAATTAAATAGCCTGTGAGTATTGAGCAATACCAGGATCTATACTGACAACATAGCATGAGTTTCATGAAAAAATAAAATCAGGGAATGCAAATCCAAGCCATGAGTTAAGAATTCACTTCACAACAGCGGACTGTATAGCACTGAAGTGATAACCTTTACCAAAGACTTCATAGAAGTCTACTACATTAATTTGCTGATTGTTCTTTCCCTGCTAAAGACATACTCCAGAGTTCACTTCTTCATCATAAACATAGACACAGTATAACTTAATAGAGTGTCTGCTCCAGCTAATGGACCTGGAATGCGCTGAGAAGACCCCAGAGCTTCTAGGAGCAGATAACACACTTCCCAGATGGCATCAAGACTATAAAGAAACAATGGCAAGAGCAGACCATGTTCCTGTCCATTCTACCTTCCATAAGGGAGAACAGATTAACAGATTCTAAGGAACAGTTTTGTAAGGCTTTTTCCTAAGATGATGGTCAGAAAAAATAAGGCCAAATTAATATAAATTCCACTCACTAGCAACAATGTGCTTAATTATGCCATGAAAACTAAATGTTTGCTCTTCCAGGCATAATCCTAGCCCTAAACACATCTCTGCTCAATGTCTGTGTTTACAATACTGTGTGGATCAGTCCTCTGCAAGATCCTCCTGGGTCCTTTGGTTCATGAATGTGGTTAAGCAAACCCCTCATTGGAAGCCATCACTTAGGAATCACCACTACTTGGAAATGACAGTATGTGAAATAAAGCCATTGATTCATGCCAGTACTTCCTATCCAAAATAATAAAATTATAAAATAGGGGAAGGGGTTTAATTCTATGAGCCTCAATTCTCATATTTAGGGAGGGAACTAGAAAAAAATAGTAAAAAGTACAACTTCTTGAAAATGCAGTTGAGATGTGTTGTGTGATGTGAATTTGCTAATCAAGAGAGGTGAATGAAGAGGCAAGAAAAAGCAAGTAAGCAAGGAACCAAATTAAGCAGCATTTTGTAAACATTTAGCAAAGCACTAAGAGTCTTGAACATTCCAGGGAGTTTTGTGAAGAAGAGGAAGAAGAAGGAGGAGGAGGAGGAGAAAAAGAGGAAGAAGGAGAGAAAGATGGTGGTGGAGGTGGTGGTAGTGCAGGTTGGGGTAGTGGTGATGGTGGAGGTGGTGGTGGTGATGTTAGCGGAGGTGGTGGTGGAGATGGAAGGTGGAGATGGTGGTGGTGGTGGTGGTGGTGGTGGTGGTGGTGGTGGTGGTGGAGATGGAAGGTGGTGGTGGTGGTGGTGGCGGTGGTAGTGGAGGTGTTGGTGGTGGAGGAGGAGGTAGAGGTGGTGAAGGTGGAGTTGGTGGTGATGTTAGTGGAGATGGTGGTGGTGGTGGTGGTGGTGGTGGTGGTGGCGGTGGTAGTGGAGGTGTTGGTGGTGGAGGAGGAGGTGGAGGTGGTGAAGGTGGAGTTGGTGGTGCTTTGCTGTTAATGCACCATTTTTTGTTCCTTAGTGGAATTCCATTTGCCCACAGTATTTCTCATCAAGGGACTGAGTGGCTCTGCTGTCTGCAGCCTTCCCCATTCTGTACATAGTGGTGGTTCCCTGGACTTGTCCCCTACTTCACTTCTTTTCAGTAATGTGCTGATGCCCCTGAGGGCCCAAATGCCCCACTCCTCCCCACACAGATATGTTTTTGTCTCACAGACTCAGAAAAGTTCACTTGTTTTGATGATCTTTCTTATAACTTTCATTCAAGCATCTCTTGGAATATCATTTTAAATCCTGCCAATGTATAAATAGACCATGTCTCATTTTTTTGTATCCAAATGAGTTTGTTAATGTAATAGTAACACTGTATTGATTTAAACTATTCTATTCAATTTACATTAGTTAATCATCAATACTTCCTATTAACATTAAACAATTTCTAACTCTCACATTCCCAGAGTGTCTTTGGTTTCTAAAGCACCCAGAATCACCCAATTTCACATTTAATCGTTAGTTATAAGTTAGTTAGTTGATAAATACCAGTTTCCAAGAATACTCCAACTATATACAACCAACTCATGTCTGAAAATACTTAGCAAAAAGAAAATTAAAGAACACAGACCATTACTGAGATATTTGGATAATACTCACGACAAAAGTAACCACATACTTCATGGGTAACTACATTCTACATGGGCAATCCATAAAGAAAAGGTCCCTATATTAAACACCATCATTTTATATTTTTATTAAATATTTTCCCAATTTTTCTTCATCTCATGACAGAATTCACACTCACAATGATTTTTTAAAGAATTAAAATCTTGCATTTTGATTACCTCTTCTTAACATTTACCAGGGATTACAGAGAAGAGATTGTTTGACATTGAATTTCTGTTAACCATGTCCTCCACTGCAACATAGTTGTACACATTGTTTCAGAGCTAACATAATGGGGAATATTTTCAAAGAAGGCTGTGTTTCAAGCCAGATGGTTTATCTGCTGAAACAATTCTCCCAGTAGAGAAATAGTGGCAGCACAGTTGCAGTAGTGTTCATAAGCCTAGTGCAGTAGATTCATTTGGCACCCACATTTTGGAGTCAAACAAAAGTACAGTTTGTGTGAATCTCAGACTCAGATATTCATGAGTGAAAAGGAGTTCTCTGAGTTGAGCATTGTGCATTATTGTAAAGACTATGTGTTTACCTCACAAACACAATATGGAAATAGGATAAAAATTTCAAGTATATATTAACAGTTTCCCATATACAGTGCAAAAGGCCTATGTTGTTAGGATAATTGCCTTAGATATTATCACAGTCTGCCTCAAAAGCAAAATTGCCACTATTTGCGTGGAAAAAAAATGTATTACCAAGCTTCAAGCCTATTGTAGCTACTAAAAGTTGAAGTAAAAGAGATTAAATATATATGCTTTCTTGGGCAAAGATGAACTGGGATCTCAGAATGGTAGAGGATGATACCAAGCACTTAGCAATACTGTGACTAATTCTCCCCCACCCCACCCCAGTCTCACCCAGCTCTTTACTATCCAAGTTGCCGTAAGGGATGCCTTGGTGGCTCACTGAGTTGGCTTCTGTAGCCCACAATGGTCTTTGGATATGTTGTGATGCACACTGGAAATCTTACCCTTTGTCACAGAAAGAGTCACTGGCCACATTTTAAAAATAAAACAGAAAAGTTTGAGGAGTCCAACAGGGGTTGCCATGCCCAGGAATGTATCAAGCATGTAGAGGGATGGGAAAATCCCTGAGATTCCAGAGATTAAAAAATAACACATGGGAGGTTCTAAATAAAGAAATTCTTGGGTATGTCGTGGAAGTTGGCACCAGAGCCTCAGGTCTCTGCCTCAGAGACTATTTTTGTTTGAGTTAGCCAGTAGGACACGCATAAATGTGACCTTCTGTCCCTAGAGAACCTAATGAATATTAGTGACATTTTCCTTGAAAAATAAGATACTTTTAACATTTATAATTCTCCATTAATTTATCTTTATATACATATATCTACATTTGTATATATAATATATCGTATCTCATTTGTTTATTGGTTGTCTTTTTGGTTTAACAAACTATGCTACCTACTTAAAAACTTTAGAAGGAAAACAGATATGGGCTTTTAAATTTTTGAATCCACAAATTTAATTAATTTAAAATTACACTTTAATTAACACCCACAAATAATTTGTGCTCTGTAACAACCATAACATAAGAGAGGGAAAATATAAATAAAATACATAAAGCTTAACATCCTAAAATTAACAAGTTATTTAGATGACCTGAGACCCCCTGTAAACACATACATATCAGCCCTTAAACTGGATAGCTTAAGACACCCAGATCAGAAAACTGCAATCCAAATTCGTGTGTATATTGAATACAAAGGAATGATAGAGACAGATGCCAGGATGAAAGTCTGTATGTCACTGTTACCTGTGGGCAGTCATCAGCTAGAAGTGCAAACACCCAATTATTGCCTACATCTCTCAGAGCACCAGGGATCCTAAACACAGGGATTCCCTTCAGTCCCTACACACCTCAACTTGATCTTTTGGAGCACAGATTTGCTGAGTTGACATTCAAAGCAGCCATTTGATATGCTCAAACCAACAGAATAGTGGGGTTTTTAAGTGGCTTCTCTGAGGCTCATTCTCATTTTTTTTGCTTTGTATCCTTTTATGAATGTCCTCAAATAATAGTGATTAGGTCATGGGACATTGTAGCAATAGACTTCCGATTACATTCGTAAGAGAACTTTTGTGAATGTTTTGTAAACAGTCTAATACTACATTTATTGAAACAAAGAAAAATCCTTGCAGTCAGAGATCTAATACAGATAGTTTGTCTGAGTTATTAATACCAGATATCTTTAGGTACAAATGCCCTGAATGCCAGGAGAACTGCTGAATGTCTTCAGTACACCATTAAAATGGCTCCTTCATTTGCATGTGACTACTACATCACTTCAAATGATTTTACCAAGAAGATACCAGAGTCTATAGTTTTCCGACTTTTAGGTAGATAGTATTATGAAAACTACACATATAAAATCAAGGAAAAGAGGTGAAAGGCTCTTTAAAAGCCAAATTGGGGCCATTTAAAATTTGTAGCTTCATGAGTAAATTATATATTACTAATAAGTGAACAAATGAAGCCATTCACAAAGCTGTATTTAAGTGATCCTAAGATTTTGCACAATAACAAGATGGAGAATAATTAAGGTTGATATATATTATATGCAAATGAAGACAAGAAGACTGGTGTCTTGGTAAGACTGGTCTCTTGATGTACATGAAATATAGTTTTCCTGTGGGGAGGGGGGAATAACTCATATGTTCAAAATGGAAAAACTAAAAAAAGTTCCTTGGTGATACTATTCAGCCTTACAGAATATTCAGAAAATCATGCAACTGCTGAAAATGGAAAAGGAGTCCTAACTACTGCCACTGTGGTAGCCGTAAGAGTCCAAGGTAGGCTTTTCCTTCTGTGTGCAAGTGGCATGTACACATGTGTACACACATGTGTATGCATGTGATGAGCACTGAGATTGAAGCTAGAATTTCATGCTCGCTAGGCAGTAACTCTACACTGAAGATCACTTCCAGTGCCTACCTTGAAATATCTTTTCATGCAAACCTTAGAGGCATTGATCACAATTTATGATTTAAAAAGGGAAAATCCAAGACAAAATAAAGACAGAAAACAGGAGGAAGAGAACAAAAAAAGACATGAGGTGGAGGATGGCAAAGGCAAGAACAAACCAGCTCAATACCCAAACTTTATTGTTGAAGTGATTTCTCTCTCTCTCTCTCTCTCTCTCTCTCTCTCTCTCTCTCTCTCTCTGGAATGCATTGATTGTGTGTTCCTAATGTACTCTGTGAGAACCTCTCAATAAAAGAGGAAACCAAATTTTATCTTGTCTATTATGCTGATGATAGCCTTCCTATATCACACTTTCAGAACCAGCGTGGTTTCCAGCAGGGCTGCCTTGGGCTACACAGGTCTGCCAGGGTCTTCCTGGTCAGGAATGCTTACAGTCTCATTTACCTCTCCCTGCTCCTGCCAAGCATGCAATAGCCACAGACCGGGGCCACACTTTTACATATGTGCTAAAGTTTCCAGGTGGCCTGTTTGTGTTATGATTGTGCCTGGCCTGAAAATAAAAACAAATTGACAATCCCTCACCTCTCCCAAGCCAGTGCCAGATTTTAAATAAAATGTCTAGTAGTGATTTATTGCCAACGCAAACTGCCAGACTGGCATCCTGTCCACTCACTAAAAAGACAAATCAGTAAAAGCTATGTTGGCCTTGCCAGTTGCCCTAAGTATGCTCTAGGAGCATTCCAAAAATCATGTTTATTCTGTTACCAGATTCCATATTCATGTGCAATAGAAAACAGGCACTCTAGATGACCTTAATGGCCTACTAGAGTGATCAGTCTTCCCTTGGGGACATCCAAGGATCATCTGCATTCTTTTTCCCTAGATAGGACACTGGCTTGTACACCAAGCAGAGAAACAAAACCAAAAGAAGCTCTTTCCTCCATGTAACCTCCGGTCAGGGATGAGCTTCCTATCACTTCCCCAGAGAACAAACACCTGCCTAGCAATTCACAAGAGATGCTTCTTGTCCTTACTCTGCATCATAAAGAGCAGCACCCTTTGTCCACCATGTGCATCTTGAAACGTTGATTTAGGCCATACTTAGCTTTACCTATCTTTATTGTTTCCCAACAATCTGATCTCTGTCTGCTCTAGTACAGTGTGTTTGAGGCTTGTAGTATTCTGGTTCTTTCTTCCTCTCCCAGGCTAGCAGGTCCCAGAAGATGGCTACATATAATATATCTAAACAGAAAAGACAAAACTCCGAAGTCCTCAGTTGGTATTTCTGTAAGAGTACAGTCAAGCTAGGGAACCACATGACCTTTCTTCCCATTTTACCCAAGCTATCCTAAGTGCATACTCACCAAATCAGTGAGAAGACTCTCCCATGGCTCACTCCATGCTTCTATGTCACTGGTACACACACCTCAGAACTGTCTATATTTCATGAGCCATTGTCTTCATGTATTATTTAATAACCTGTTTAACAGCATGCCTAATTACAAACATTTATTATAGAATTCAACTCCAGAAGTAGATGAGAATGTGCTAAATTGTTTGCTACCTAAAGTTTTAATGAGAGTATAATACCTTCAGCCCATATGCTTCAAGAACGTTATCCTTAATTATGTAACATGGGTATTTTACTGATATCTGTTAACTGCTCGAGCAGCTGTGGTTTTCTGCTATTTTGCACAGCTCAGGAGGAGCAGTGAGTTCAGTTTCCCCTTTTTGGGGGTTGCAAAATCCATGCCCCAAACAGGTGTGTGCAATCAGGAACCGCAGTGATGAGCCCAAACTGCTGCCTTTCTAAAAATTCCACCAGCCGGTGACACACGCTGCTCAAGGTTGCACAAGCTTGTTTTCCACCGGTTATTTTGATGATTCATTCCCCCATGGGGAGGTGAACTTCAGCCATTATTTCTCCTCTCCTGTTTCTGATAATTAGAGGAATCACTTCCTCATTCAGTGATCTCTCTCACTCTCACTCTGCCTCCCTCCCTCTGTCTTTCTTTAAAATGAATTCTTACCTTTTGGAAGGTGTTGGCCTCTTCTCCATGTACCTCAAAGAGTAGGAGAGGTAAACTAACTAACTAACTCTCTCTCTCTCTCTCTCTCTCTCTCTCTCTCTCTCTCTCTCTCTCTCTCTCTCCTCTCAAACACACACATACTCAGAACTCATCAGAACTCTTTGTCAGCTTGCTATAGGAAATCTGGCTACACAACAAAGATATCATTCATTAAAACTGTCACTACTCTCAAATCTAAAAAGCCTGTGCCATCCACTTCCAAGCATTGTCTTTGCGAAGCTGTCCTATGTGCTAGGGAACATGGTAGCATTGTCACTCACTTGAGCCTCCTTCATATTCTCTCAAATGCCAAATGCAGAAATCACCCTCTTTAACAGGACAGTTAGATTTTCATAGACATCAACTGTTTACTGAGAGCCAAGTCTGCTGACAAGTGGTGGGAGTCATTCTAAAAATAAAAACAAGGTTGATTATTAAATGACAAAATTTATGTCTGTAGAAAATGACAAATACATCAATGCAAAAAAAATTTCAAAGCAGGAGATGTAAAACATTTCAGCGCCAGCAACAGGATCAGCCTAGACAAGCCAATGCTCCTTCACAAATCTGCTTGGAAAAAATTAGACAACATAATTTTACCTTCTCATCTTGATTTTTCGAGAAAATGAGGAACTCCAATTAATTTATTCTCTTCCTAATTGAACGACAATTTGCAATTTAATAATGATACATTGTAGGAACTGTTTTCTTACTGCTGCCTAAATAGACACACATGTACATCAACCCATTTCACATTTCTCTAAATATTTTCACAGTGGAAAGTGGTGTTCACAATAACAGTGCAAACTGTGGAGTCTGATAATCCAAATACAAGGTGTTGTTTTAACCACACACTGTCACCTTGAGTGGGCGACGGAAACTCTAAGAACTCCAGCTTTCTCATCTGGTAAGCATTGAAGAAAATAGAAGCCTCATACAGTGTGCAGATGAAATAGGCTTTAAAATACCTCAACTAGAATACCTGATGCATAACAGAGGAGTGAAGCTTTTCTGACATGTTATCATTTTCTGACATGTCTGTTTTCACCTGGAAGGGATGTCCCTACCATGCTACCAGCATCCAGCACAGAATGTAGTCCATGGTAAACCTAAACAGTTGTTTATTGAACTGAGCTAAATGCATTTTTCTGAACATAATAAAACTTTTAAATTGGGAATAGAAAGTTAAAGATTTTCGATTAATTTATTGTGAAATTAGTTCAGGGACAAATGTGGGTTGATCTAATTTATAATATACCTACACCTCCCTATTAAAAATATTATTAAAAATAACAATATCATTATATATTTCAAAGTGAATGACTTCTTCATTTTTTTATTCTTTTTTTCTCTTCTGTATTTTAAGAGATGTTTTTGCCATCAATGTAAAATTATTTTCATAGACATATTCATGAACATTAGGTGATTAGTTGACCGTAGGTGGACTCAGTGGATAAGATAGCAGAAGTCATAGGTTAGGTCCAGATGGGGAGGTGGTGGGAGGAGAGCCCTAGATGGGAAGAACACTAAGCCACCACTTCTAGAATTCTTGGTAGCTGCAGGGGTGTGGGCTCCATGAGGGTGGCGGAACACTGAAGCAAAATCACACTTCCCCAAATGCAGAATCACTAGGGTAAAGTTTCTCCTCTTAACCTGCCCAAGATACAAACCTGAACACTCACACCTCACTGCCCAGCCATGTGGTCTGATGCTCATCTGTACTGGGCCTTCGATATGTAACTATCAAAGAAACACATTGGTACACATCACTTCATCATGGTATCTTCCTTATATTGCCCTATTTTTCTCTATTTTTCACTGTTTCAGAAATCAGAAGACTCTTTAAAGAAGATAATTCAAAGATAAGACAATCTTCGGCTCAGTAGACAATCGCACAAGGTGTCCTCTTTGAATCCAAAGGTATTCTTACCTGCACATCACTTTACAGGTAGCAAGATGAATTGATTCTTTTAAGCAATATCTTACTAGAAATCCTGAGATGACTATAAGTGCTCCACAACAACCAGCAGTCAGGTGTAGTAGACCTAGATGGATCTCCAGTCAACATCAAGACAAGGAAAGCAAAACCTGTGGGAACAAGCACACATCCCAAGAAGGAACACTGTTGTTCTTGGAGCCCTTTGAAAATGAAGAGAAAATTATAAACAAAATAAAACCTGCATAGGCATCCTCAACTCTTCCTTATGCTGCTCACTGCTTAATGGTGCTCATCCTGCCTCTTCTGGAGCAGCTGGCCATAGAGATACTAAAGGCCACCTTTAGTTTAGGTAGGTGCCCTCTGGAAAGACTGTGCTCCTGTCATGGCGCTTAGAGAAGAAGGAGAATTACAAACAAGGAACAGAAACTGTGGACTTTTTTTTTTAAATCTTAGGTTGGAATCCCATGACCCAAGATTTTGCAAGTCCTGAAGGAAATTCAACTCAGGCAATGAAGAGTCTTATGATACAATGGCCTGCAATCTGTTAATGCTTAAACTCCTGATTCATAAAGGGGTAGAGAAGAGAGAAGAGGAGACCAATAAAACAGACACAGCCCCACTCACCTGACGATTCATCATCCTGCTTCTCCCTACTCATAATTTGGAACCACTCTCTTGAGAAAGCCGTCTCATTTTTGGCTATGTCGATTGGCCCTGCAGGCTGTGAGTTACATTAGGGCAAGGACTGAATCTTATACTTCCTTGTCACCCCTGCTTCTGGTATAGAAATGGACAAAGTTGAGATACTTGATATTTGTTAAAGCAATCTATTAAATTACAGATATATAGTAGTCTTTTTAAAGAGTTTGTCAGTGACTAATACATTTTTTCAATTCAACAAGTAACGCATAGTAATATCATACTATATAATATTACAGTATATTATATTATAGCAAAGAAAGTTAAATACCTTATCCAGAATCTGGGGGCCAGCTTCTTTCCTTCTCATGTTCACTTCGACATCTCCTTCAGAACCTGGTTCCTCAAAGGTTGTCTTAGTTGAATCTTAAAGGTTAGAAATGAAAAAGGAATTTGTATGATAAGCTCCGAAAGATTCATTCTCTTAGCCTTAAAATTCTACTGCTCTGTTGGTACCATTGAGAACCTATTAATCATCTCTCTAAAAATAAGAAACTGCTTTACCCATTGTTTACCCCATCTCAGTAAAAAGACCTTCCATCTTTTATTACTCATGCCAAACTCCACGGGGCGTTGTTAATGTCTCTTTTTCCCTCCTACTTCATATCTAAAGTCAACTGAGAAATCCTACAGCACCTACTTTCAAAATATCTCCAAATTCAACCACTTTTCATTATCTCCTCAGCCAGCAACTTAGCTCAGACCAACACTATGTTCATGTAAGTTTTGGAACAGGTCCTTGCCCACCTGTAGCACATTCATAGTAGGGGAGGCCTGGTGACTCACTTCAGTTATCAGCTATATCATTCCTTCAATCTAAGTTTTTGAAAGTACTTAGGGAAAAAGGTGATATTCTTTCTATGACCCATAAAGGTAACAGAATATCTGTACCCTCCAAATTGCTATTTCCATTACCTCTCTGGGATCTCTGATTAGTCCTCCATCTCTTTTCTCCAAGCACACATACAAGACACCATGTCCAAAATTAAATAAACCATGTTGAAGAGACCTGACTGCTCTTGCAGAGAACTTGAGTCTGATTTTGTGTACCCATGTTGGGTGCCTCACAACCACCTGTAACTCCAGCTCCAAAGGATATGATACCTATGGTTTTACAATCAGGTATATATACATATAAACACATAATTTAAACTGGGAAAAATAAATCTTTAACAAAACATTTAAAGAGAACTTAAGAAGCTGGCTATACTAATTTAAAAATCAAGTTTTTCTTCATGGAAACAGTAACCTATTTAGAGAATATGATGGCACAGAGGAAATTCTATTAATAATATCAACAAAGTATGAAATATTGTGGGAGAATTTTGAACACACAAAAGTAAAATGTTCAAACACAATTAACAGAGGTAAAATTACTTTAAACTCACACATATATATCATTGTTAAATTATTCAAAAATGCTTTTAGTGCTCAGAAAAACTCAGGACACCAGAGGCAGCAAGGGCCCAGCCATGAACAGCATGGGACTCCTATTTTTGTGGTATCACAAAGCATCAAGAATTCAAGTCATTTCCAGTGTAACTCAATGATCTTTTCCTCCTCTGCAGTCCTAGCCTATTGACCCCAGAACTGCGAATGGCACTAGAATGTATCTATGGCAGGGTTTTTGAGACCACCTTCTTCTTCTTCTTCTTCTTCTTCTTCTTCTTCTTCTTCTTCTTCTTCTTCTTCTTCTTCTTCTTCTTCTTCTTCTTCTCTTCTTCTTCTTCTTCTTCTTCTTCTTCTTCTTCCTCTTCTTCCTCTCCTCCTCCTCCTCCTCCTCCTCCTCCTCCTCCTCCTCCTCCTTCTTCTTCTTTTTCTTCCTTCCATAATTTATTTTTTTATTCACAATACATCCCAGTCACAGCTCTCCACTCCTCTTCTTCTCCCAGTCTGGTCCTTACAAGTCCCTCCCACCACCCCCTCCCCTTCTCCTCGGAGAAGGGGAGACACTGTTCTTTTTCTTACCACATAAATCAAAGCCACCAAGAAACACTACTGACTTTCTTTCCTGAACGTTTCTGAGGTCTGCCTCTTGCACTGCTGAGATACCAGAACCTGAGCCATCATCTCTGCAATGTCTGCCTCAGAGGCAGCTGACTCTTCAAAAGTGTACATAGACAACCTTTAGGAAAGTCTTGGCAATGACTCTTCATCATCCAGATGTTAACAAAAAGATCAGTGCTGGAGGATATGGGGGGATTTGCATAAGGGATGATTAGATTTTTAGTATACAACTCTAACTTGGTCCTGAGACAATCTTTGAATGTATGAAAATTTGAGTATCTTCTTTCTCTCCTGACAGCCAATAAACACTACTGGCACATGAATTAGTATACAGTGAGCACTCAATAGAAAATTTTTAAGTTCAATATTGCCTTTAGGCTAGGGTCCAGTGGGCTTTATCATTATCCAATCACCTAGATTCTCACGCCATATGAAGTGCATGAATATGCATACATGTTGGTATAAGTATATGCACACACACGCACACACGAGCTAAAGAATATGTGTATATTTTGCTATGCAACCACATTGTACAACAAAATGCACAACCCTGTAAACCTATTCTTAAAATTAATGCCTTTCAGAATTCAGAATAAGGTTCCTTCTCAATGTCTGCCCTAAATCTCAAAAAAAAGAAGCAACCTACTTGTTCAGGAGTATTAGAAAGAATCTGTGATTCAAATGAAAGGAAAACACATAATTAAGTAGAAAAGGCAAATTAATCATCTTGATGAACCCTTGCTTTCAGACAGTATGATGCAAAATAAATATAATTTCCCAAATATATCTAATGTCATCTTGCTTCTATTCACATATCACGTTATAAACCTACACATAAGAATTTTCACATGTCAGGAAAACAAAGTTTATACCAACTCAGGGTTGTGAAGGTTTAAGCAAAGAGACATTCCTCATGTAATGTGATACTAAAATGTTTTAGATGAATTTTTAAGTGTAATTAAACATCTCATACCCTGGAGCCAAAATACACCCTTACTAATAGGCTCTGCCACTTCCTTACTCTGAGATCTCAGTCATGTTTCTTAAACACACAATACCCCAGTTTCTTCCTCTGTTAAGTGGGAGTAGTTTAGGACCTGTTTCATACATTCTCAACTTGTGAGGATTAAAAAAAGACACTGACTATAAAATAATTAGCACAAAGCATGGTCCTCAGTCAATGTTTGACTAATATCAGGCACCAGCATCTTTTTCGTCACCAACTTTGTGATTATCACTATCAGAATAAACACACTTGATTTATAATTCCATCTTTTAAGATGAAAGTACTGGAGCTAGAAGGAAATTTTAAATAAATAAATAAATAAATAAATAAATAAAACGTGTACTAATGGAAAACGTCTCACACTACAGATCTATTCAAATGAAGAAATTTTCTGGGTAAAACTATG